GAAAAAAAAAAAAAAAAAAAAACCCTCACAAGAACTTAAAAGAATCACATAAACACAAACACAAAGGGTATGTTTGGTTTGAGTTTGAGAGATGAGTTTTAGAAATAAAAAGTACGAAAAGTTGTTTGGTTTGGTTTTTTTCAAAAAATGTTTTGAAAAATTATTTTGAGAGAGTTTTAGAAAAAGTGATTGATTTGATATGTATGAGAGAGAGATTTGTTTTGAAAAACTTGTAAACCAAACAAGTTTTGGGAAATTTTTTTGGAAAAATTTGTTTGGTTTGATTACTTTTGAAAATTTATTTGTAGAGAATTTTTTCCAAAAATTTTTGGGAAACACAAACCAAACAAGGCCAAATTCTCTTAAACTCATCTCTTCATTGACAAGACTAAGACTTCAGATTGGAAAACTAATCAGCTTGTTTGGTTTTGGTTTTCAAAAAACACTTTTCAAAAAAATTTATTTTTTACTTTCTGTATTTTTTTGTTTTCAATGACTTTTTTTTAATATTTTAAGTAATTTTTTTAATTTTTAGACACACCTAATATAAATACACTTAAAAAGTACAATATTTGTGAAAAAAAACTTTAAAAAATTCACTATATACTAAAAATACAAAAAAAAAAAAATGAAAATTCAGTACATTTTTCGTATTTTTGTATATTTATTAATTTTTTAAAATATTTTTTCACAAATATTTTATTATTTAGATATATCTAAGTAAGGTGCATCTAAAAAAGTAAAAAATTACTTAAAATTTTTAAAATATTCACCAAAAATAAAAAATAAAAAAAACTGAATTTTTAGAAATCTGAATTCAAAAACTAAAACCAAACACATTGAATAAAATTTGACTATTTAGAAAAATCAAGACCTCTCATAGATCACATATAAGACCCATACAACTCAACCCATACTACAAATATTGGCCCATTCTACCCGGTCCAACGAAGCTAAAAATTACCAAAATACACTTGACTCATAACATAAATGAATGCAACCAATTGTAACTTAACCCAAAATCAACCAATATTAACACTTTCCTTTGGGCCAAAAAGTCTACTTGCATGGTGTGGGACTCAGATTTTGTTTTAAGCTTCCAAAGTAGGTATGGTTTATCTCAGCAAGCAATAGTTACCTCACTAATAAATATCTTTGCAAATAAAATTAGAAAAGGGATAGAAATTAGAAGTTTGAATAAGTCATTATCATCTTGTGATGCAGATATGTATTAGGTTTCTTTTTACATATTGCAGATAACATGGCTTAAAGAAACTAAGAAGCAGAGGCACTTATAAGAAGGCGGCATGTCCGTGTTGGACACCAACACAGGTCAAGCACAAATCCAAATGTGTCCTGTTATTTAAAAATAAAAATAAAAAGAGAGAGAGAGAGAGAGAGAGAGAGAGAGAGAGAGACTTGGCATGCTTCGAATATTTGGGGCCGTAGTTGTCCATCGCTTAGATACACATGAAACACGTTACAACTTTGGCCAAAATATATAGAGATCTAATGACAACAGAAACAATGTACATTTATATCTATTCATCCCTCCTTTAAACTTTAGAAATTAGTCTTGTGTTATATTTTTTTTTATTTTTTAATGACATATATATATCGAGTAGTAACAAAGAATTTTATTAAAAAGAAAAAAGGGGCGAGGACAAGAAGTCCTTAACAAGGAAAAGGAAAGCAGTCAGAATAGTCAAAACAAAAAGCACAAACTCCTAGCACTAGAGATGGCAA